TTTTCTGAATTTATAATTTTTTTTTTACTGGGCCCTCTTGAGCAAATCGATGAAAAACAGGAGGACAGTGACAGTGACAGTTTATAATTTCTCTTTCTGTATTTTTGAATATTGCATTTGGAAATTATTTTGAATAAAGATAGATTTTTTTCTGAATTTATAATTGTTTTGAATAAAGATAGATTTTTTTTCTGAATTTATGCTCAGGGATTACTCATGATTCTGTGCTTCTTGGGGGTCAGTCCTGGCAGTCCTCAGCGACCATTAGTGGTGCCAGGAATAGAATTGGCATCTGCCACTTGCAAGGTAACCCGTGTAACTCTCTAGCCCCTTACCATGGTCCTGCTGTGTGACCAAGTATATGGAGAGGCAATGCAATTTTATGTGAACAAATTTTAAAGGAATTGACATTTTAGAATTTTAGAATGTTCATAAGGAAGATCTTAGAACAGTCATACACGCTGTAGCCTATTTTGCTGTTGTGGTTGGGGGGGTGTCACGCCCCGCAGTGCTCAGGACTTTCTCCTGGTGGTACCTGGGAGCTGTCGGGGGTCCCAGGGATCAGCCCCAGGTCAGTCACATGCAAGGCAAACTCCCTACCCGCTCTGCGATCTCTCCATCCCCTAAACTCTGTCATCTTTATCGTATTCATTCTCCTGCCACTCTGGCGTCATTTCTATTTTAGCTGAATGAACACATAAGACAGAGTTTTCTTGTGGACTGATTTAGAAGTTACAATCATTTACGTAGTCACATTCCATTAGTCGGTGTTGAGTCACGTGCCCTTACCTGGTATACTAGTAGGGAAAGTAGCCAAGTTTGACAGGGATTGGGTGTGGTGGGAAACGGTAGGGAAGCATGAATTTTAGTGAGTAGCAAAGATTTTTTTTCCCCTGATTTGCTTCTTGGCCATGGAATATGCATCACACTCCCCCCCACTTCCCTATTTGGAAGAGTCTAAAACAGTGCTCTGCCAGGATCTAGCATCCAACAGTGACTTCACTTCTGTATGCACCCCTCAAGGGGAAGGCTGTGAAAGTGACCTCTGCTCCCCACTCTCCCCAAATCACTGATGAATCATGCCGAGCAGGGGCCGAGAGATAGTACAGGGGTTAAGGGGCTCATCTTCCAGGCTGTGGACCCAGGTGGTTTCCTGAACACGGGCAGGAGTGATCCCGGAGTGTGGAGCCAGGAGTCAGACCAGAGCAAGGCCAGGTGTGGCCCACAAACAAAACGAAACAAAAAATAAACGAATGCTGGTGAAGTAGAGCATGTGTGGTTCCTGTCTGCAGTGAACGTTCCCGCTCTCATGGGAAGTGAGAATAGCGGCTCCCACTGCAGGCGTGGGGCTGGCAGAGGAAACTCCCACAAGAACCCATCCTACTGATGTGGGTGTTTTTTGCTTAGGTGCTTACTCTGGTCTTTCCTGGCCGCGCCTGTGATGGGCATCCTGAATCTACAGCCTTCCTTTGCTGGCGCCTCTCTGCTGGTTCAACTTGAGAGGCAGAAGGGTTGGTTTTTCTTCCCAGACATTTTTAGACCAAGTGTCTGGTTTTCTTGTTAATCCATTTTCCTCCAATTTTAGTAATCTTACCATTTCTAGCTAGATCCCCGTGCCAGTAAGCACAGTGCGCTTTCGTAGACATAGTTTCAGAAATATTTTTCTTTCTCTCCTTCTTTCCCTCTTTGTTTCTTTCTTCTTCTCTGCCTCCTTTTCTCCCTCATTGTCTCCCTCTCTCTTGCTCTTACCTTTCTTTCTCTTACCTTTCTCTCTTCTTTCTTTCTTTCTTTCTTTCTTTCTTTCTTTCTTTCTTTCTTTCTTTCTTTCTTTCTTCCTTCCTTCTTTTCTCTTTCTTTCTTTCTTTCTTTCTTTCTTTCTTTCTCTCTCTCTTTCTTTCTTCTCCTTCTCTTCCTCCTTTTCTCCCTCATTCTCTCCCTCTCTCTTGCTACCTTACCTTTCTTTCTCTTACCTTTCTCTCTTCTTTCTTTCTTTCTTTCTTTCTTTCTTTCTTTCTTTCTTTCTTTCTTCCTTCCTTCTTTTCTCTTTCTTTCTTTCTTTCTTTCTTTCTTTCTTTCTTTCTTTCTTTCTTTCTTTCTTCTTCTCTTCCTCCTTTTCTCCCTCATTCTCTCCCTCTCTCTTGCTACCTTACCTTTCTTTCTCTCCTTCCTTCCTTCCTTCCTTCCTTCCTTCCTTCCTTCCTTCCTTCCTTCCTTCCTTCCTTCCTTTCTTCCTTCCTTCTTCTTTTCTTTCCCTCTTTGTTTTTGCTTCTCCCTCTCCTATCCCCCTTCTTTCCCTCCCTCCCTCCTTCCCTCCCTCCCTCCCTTCCTCCCTCCCTCCCTCCCTCCCTTCTTTCCTTCTTTCCTGTATTTCTCTCTCTTTACCTAATAGTGAGTTCCCATTTATTAGACACCACTGGCTACAGTCGGGAAGGAATATCCACAGTGGCTACAGTGCAAACTGGACTAGAGGTCATCATGTCCAGTTATATAGATGAGAGGGAGAACAAATATAGGGTGATGTCACGCATCTGTGGAATATAGAGTCAGAACTGGGCCTTGGGTCCCCTAACTTATTCACAAACTGTGGGGGCGTGGGGTGAGGTGGTGGTGTGGGGTTGAAGCTGAGCTCAGAGGTGACACAGTGCTGCTGTGCGGTAACTGCCCCTCAGTGCTGAGAACCTGCATCCGTCCATAACCATATTAATGAAACTAATGAAAACTTCAAAGAAGAAAAACAAAAGGACCATAGTTCGCCCACTAGGTTTCTGTAAACATCTAGAACTTTGAATGCGCCTTTGTACTGGGAAGCCCTCTTAGCTTCTGTCCACGGTTGCTTTCCTTTGCTGTGTTTTTGCTTTGTTTTGCTCCATTTTTTTTTAACTCTTGGAAACAGGCATTTCCAATCGTGCTCGCCCCCGAGGTGTGGGCTCTGTTCCCTTCTATTTTTGCTTGTGAAGTAGCTAACTCTTCGTCGGCCTCATCATTATCTTGTCACTTTTTACTTGAAGCAGTGAAGAAAGACAATGTCCAGGCACCACTCTGGTGACCGCAATAGACCCCACCATTAGTCAGAGGCCCAGTCATATTGGAATGTGTTTCTTCTTCAGTGGAGTACTCTGGCCGCAGCTGAGTTAGAGTCCTTCCCTCTTTCGCAGGCTTACCCACTACTGACTCTTTGTGTTGTCTGCGATTCCTTTGAACTGTAGTTTATAGGAAAAGCAAAGGAAGTGCAGGATTTTCCTTGCAAATATTTCTTGCTCGGGTCTAAAAGTGACACGTGTCATTTCCATTAATATTATATCGACAAGATCGCAACTCAGTTGAACCGAGGCTAGGAAATAGCGTCTAACTCTGTGTCAGGACACAGTCCTTCCTATCCTGCCTGATTAACTTCACTCACCATGATATTCTGCAGATCCATTCTTGTATGCAATTTCAAAGAATGTATGACATTGATTATGAGACTGATCCATTGATGAGCTGGAGCAATACCAACAAGTCTCACAATGGAGACGTTACTGGGCCCGCTCGAGCAAATCTATGAACAACAGGAGGACAGTGCTACAGTGCTACTTCCTATCTATGGAAATAATAGATACTTCCATTGGTTTGTAAGATATGCTGTGATTGAAATAATATGCATATAATGAAATACAAATAAATTGATATATGCATATAATGTACGCGGGATAATATTAGTAAATGGTAGCACTGTCGTCCCATTGTTCATCGATTTACTCGAGCAAATATTTTCTCAACAAATTGTGAGACTTGTTACTGTGTTTGGCATATCGAATACATCACGGGGAGCTTGCCAGGTTTTGCCGTGAGGGCAAGATACTCTCGGTAGCTTGCTGGGCTCTCCGAGAGGGGCAGAGCAATCGAACCCGGATAGGCCATGTTGGCCGTGTGCAAGGCAAACACCTTACCTGCTGTACTATCGCTCCAGCCCTAGTAAATGGTTTACATATATAATGTAGCATATATGAGACTATTAGTAAATCATATACCATATGCCTGAGATGTGCTCTGTATACAATGCATGCATGAGAGTATCAGGAGATGTTAGAGGAAAGACGAATTAGAACCCAAATTCATTTAATTTTTTTATGTCATGATTTCTTTTTTTTTTTTTTTTGCATCACACCCAGTGATGCTCAGGCGTTATTCCTGGCTCTGCACTCAGGAATTACTCCTGGTGGTGCTTGGGGGACCATAAGGGATGCTGGGAATCAACCCTGGGTTGACTGTGTGCAAAAGTAAATACCCTACCCGCTGTGCTATCACTCCAGCCTCAGTGTCATGATTTTTTAAAACAAAATATGAACTACTTGGTTTCAAATTTTAGCCTTTCACTTTTTGTGTAGCATTGTAGGTAATTGAAAACAACATACTGCCAAGGGGCTTGAGAAGTAGTACAGTGGGTTGGGTACTTACCTTGCGTGCAAACGATCCAGGTTTGATCCCTGGCACCCCATTAGGTCTCTTGAGCACTTCCAGAGTAATCCCTGAACACAAGGTGAGGAGTAAACCCTGAACACTGCTGGGTACATCCCAACCAAAGAACCTCCTCCCTCCAAAAAAAAACACACTGCCTAGAACATGATTACAGCCAATTTAAATAAGTAGCACAATTTTTTTTTTATTTTTAAGTGTTTTTAATAGCACATTTAAAAAAATTCTTTAATGTTTAGTGTTTTCTCATTTACAGAAAATGCTCTCCCTAACAGTGTGGTTTGATTAAGACTTGATAGTACCTGATAAAATGAATGTTACCAAGAACAAATGATTGGGAAATTTAATTACTGACAATTGTCTCCTTGATATTTTATTTGAGAGAATTTTGCATTCTTTACTGATCTAATGGGAGTAAGTCAAAGACATTTTTACCCATTGATTTAAAAAAATGAGTTTTATGGGATAAATTATTCCTGAAGTTTATAGATCGCCCTTTGGATTTTGAAAGACTTCACCATAATTATTTTCTTTCTTTGCAGCAGGCATTTTGGAGATCAAAGATGGGTAGAAAAGACGCCTCTACTGTAAAGCTTCCTGTTGATCAGTACAGAAAGCAAATTGGTAAGCGATGAATTCCCTTTGATATATTGCTGTGAATTAAGATTTGAAAAAAAAAAGCAATTATGCATAACATTGAGAAAATAACTTTTTTCTAGCATGCATGCATTACAAACTTTGAATAATAATTGTTTTCAAGAGGAAGAGATAAGTGTGTCCTACGTGCCAGTTAAGAAAGACATTTTATGTGCTTGAGTGTTTTTTCAAAGTTCTTATGATTTTTATTAGTATTTAAAAATATATTTTGTTATTATTCTGAAGTTTGGATGTTTTTATGTAGTCAGCATTTTTTGTTATGAGCCTTTGTTTTTGCTTTTTCCCTTTTTTTAAATTTTATTTTATTTTTAGAAAGTTGTTCTCAGTAATTTATTACCTTAAATATTTCAGCACTAACCCCACAATTACACCTTCCCAATGCCATTATTTTGAATTTTCCCAACCACCACCCAAGCCTGCCCAAATAGCAGCCCCTAAATGATTTATTTTGTATTGCTTGTTATGAATAATTCTCTAAAAATGATCAAAAAGGTTTCCTCAGAAGAAAGTATGTGAAGATTGTTGTATCTCACCCTGGAGCCATTGAACCCTTATATAAGAGATTAATAATGTGTTGTTACAGGTTGATCCTTGTATGATAATGTATTTTTTTAATCGAGATAGGTTGCCTCATACATTATATTCTACCTAATGTTACATCTGTGGTATAGAGTAGGAGATATCATGCTACTACATGCTCCAGGAATTCTAAAATTTTGAATAAGGTGATATATCTGGAGTTAAATTTTTAACGGGAAGGTGTATTTGGGGGGCAGAGCTTTCTCTGCAGAGTTTCACTCTCTTCTGAGATTTATTTGTGAATCTCTGGGACCTGGCTGTTAATCAGCTTAGATGGTGCCAGAGGCAGTTCTTGGGCGTGACTGCCAGGCTTCCAGAAGAACAGGGGGAGGTGGGAGGTCACCTATCCCCGACTCTGTGAGAGCCTGGAGATTTGGGTCACCGGTCCTGCATAACTGGGTTTTTCAGCAGACTCATTCTCCTGGATTAGGCTCCTCCGAGCCTGTGGAGAATGAGTTCTGATAGTTCTCGGCTGCCGGGGCTCACTCTGGGCAGGTGGGGAACTCACCCACCTCCCTCCAGGGTGTCCAGGATATGAGGTTCAGCCTGGCGTGGAGTCTGGAGGCATCTCTGCAGTGTGTTGCTCTCTTTCAGGATTTGTTTGTGCCTCTTTACTATGGGCTTTTGTAAAATAAATTCTTTTCATTTAAGACTTTTACTTTGCAGGGCTGGAGCAACAGCACAGCAGGTAGGGCATTCGCCTTGAACGCAGCCGACCCAGGTTCAATTCCCAGCATCCCACATGGTCCCCTGAGCACTGCCAGGAGTGATTCCTGAGTGAAGAGCCAGGAGGAACCCCTGTGTATCACTGGGTGTGACCCCAAAAGTAAAAAGAAATAGATAAATGAATAAATAAATAAAACTTTTACTTTGCCCCTCCTCTGTTTTGTGTGGGGACTGTGCCTGGTGGCACTTTGACACAGCTCCCGGCTCTGTACAGCCAGGCAGTCACTCCAGGGCCACAACGCAGCAAAGAAAGCATGCATAGCACTTACCTTGCACATCTCTGACCCCGGTTTGATGGGGAACCCTGCCAGGAATGACGGCACCATGGCATGCATCGGCACAGAGCCAGGAGTAAGCCCAGGGCACAGACAGGTTATAGGGTTTCGACCCCAAGCCCGAAATAAAGAAATTCAGGAAGTAGAATAAAATGTTTAATGACAATCATTTGAAAACTCCAGAATTCTTTTTTTGTTTGTTTTTTTAAATTTTTCTAAGTGGCACTAAGGGGGGCCCCGGGGCCCTATGATCATAGGGGCCCCGGGCCCCTATGATGCCTGAGGTCCAAAGCGGTGGCTCAGTGCTGAGGACGCAGTTTCTTGGTGTCCCAGTGCCTGGGACCACCAGGGCAGCGTGTGCAGTGCTCAGGGGTGTGGGTGTCTGGGCTGTGCCTCCCGGTGTGGATTCAGGGGAAGCGGCATCTGGGTTGGCTCCCAGAGCCCCGGGGGCTTGACCCCCATGCTGCATCCCCAGCCTGCGAACACATCGACACTCTTTATTAAACTTCTGTCTTAGTAAAAGTATGAAACAGGACAAGGTCCATTCATCGGGATAGAAAGATAACAGCAAGAATATTTGTTCTAGATGGTGCTTCAGGCTTTTCCATATTCATTCTTTGCAAGGAGACATGGAGGACGGAATAAAAACTACCTATGTTCTAAGTCTTGAACCAGTGTAAAAGAATGAAGGTTCTAAAAACCACATTTCAAATAAAGCATAGTGTATCAGGAATTAGAAGCCAAAGGTTAATTTCCTCCCCTGCCCCCCCTTTTTTAAAACACATTTCTTTCTCATTCCTTTTTATTTCTACTCCTTCGGGGAAAAAAAAATAGAAATTAACAACAACAACAACAAAACCACCTCTCCTCCATTAACTGAGGGATAGACAAAAAAGTTACTATAGAATTTAGAAAGAAAAAGCATAAATATTGATACAAATATAATATTTCCCTATTTTGCCATGTGATACACAGTAGACTCAAGAAAACCATTTTTACAGAATAAAAGACATGTAAACAAAGTACCAAGGTATTGAAATACACATAAGTAGTTAAAAACTTACAGATAGGGGCGATCAATTGTTGCTGTAAACAAATGCAATGATCTGGACTCCTAAAATTAAAGTGCACCCATACATGAGGGGACAGGTCACAACAGGAGATCTATGTAGGAAACCAGAAGCAATAACCATTACAATAACCATTACAATACAAGTTGAAATCTAAGAGCCCAATGGTAACTTATTCGACGTCTAAACGAAGGACTCTCGTGGGGTTAGTTTCTTGACGAAGGTTTGGTGTTCTTGGATTTGATGCTTAGCAGGGGCCTCCCAACCGTTCCTTACATGCCCAGAGGCCTCTCCTGCCATGCTTGGTTGCCCGCTCTCATTTCCTGGACGTTTGGTACCCTCGCCCTGCACTGTTGTGTCGTGCTGTTGCGTCAGGGTTGCTGGGAGAGCCCAGGTTCCTCAGCTGCTCCCAGGAGCCTGCAGGAGATCACCCATGAGTCCCTGTCCGTCGGGGTAGTGCTGGAGCTCAGAGCTGGGCCAGGCAAGGCATGGGTGCTGTCCTATGAGTTATCTATCTTCATGACCCACCTGATTCCTTCTGTATAACCCTTTTCTTTTCTTTTTTTTTTTTTCTTTTTGGGTCACACCTGGTGATGCTCAGGGGTTACTCCTGACTTTGCACTCAGGAATTACTCCTGGTGGTGCTTAGGGGACCATATGGGATGCTGGGGATCGAACCCGGGTCTGCTGCATGCAAAGCAAATGCCCTACCTGCCGGACTATCGATCCAGCCCCCATGTGTAACTCTTTTATGTATAACTTTTTCTCCTGTGTAACTCTTTATTCTGTACAACCCTTTCCTGTATAACCCTTTTCTGTATAACCCTTTCTTCTCCGTAACCCTTTCTTAATTTATAGTTTTCCTAAATATATAAACTGTGTATTATTTTATGTGTTTATAGGAATGATTGATTATGAAAGTGTCTGAATAAGGAAACACAGTAGGTAGGGTGTTTCCTTGCACATGGTAGGCCTGGGTTCAATCCCTAGGACCCTCTATGGCCCCCTGAACCCTGCCAGGAGTAAGCCATGAGCACTGCTCAATAGGGCCTCAAGAGAAAAATGTAAAAAAATAATAATAAAGTGTCTGACCCAAAGGGATGTGCTTATAACTTAAAGAATGATCATATTGTCAATCAACTTACAATCCAATTCTTAAATAGACAGTTCTTAGAATATTCTAACTAGAGGGCTGGAAAGATAGTACAGTGGGTAGGACACTTGCCTTGCATACAGCAGCTAATCTGGACTCTATCTCTGGCATCCCATATGGTCCCCAAGCACCAGGAGTAATTTCTGAGGGCAGAGCTAGGAGTAAGCCCTGAGCATCACCAGGCCCCCCCAAAGAAACAAACAAATTTGTAAGTATGTTCTCCCTTATAATCACATGCCAATCAAAGTACATTTCCTTTTTCCCAAGAAACGTCCTAGGCTCTACTCTCTGCTTCGTTTAGTCCCTATCCACCAATATATACAATTATTATTATGATTTCTATCTCACAATCACTTTTCTACAAGGAAAAAGCAAAGGTTTTTCTGGACCAAATTGAATTTAATCTTCCATTATGAAGCATAGAGATATTAAAATACAAAGTTTAAAGAATCACAAGAATTAATTGAGAAATAACGAATTTAAGGAGTTTTTATTTAGAGTTAGAATATACCAGAAACCTAGGTTTATATTAGCGATATGTCTCTTGTAATTTGCACTATTTTGTTTAAATGGGGTGTTGTGGTTCGCAGTAGAGGTATTGAGCAGCTATCATGTTCCATCTGTAGTCTACTTTCAGCACGCTTCTTTCAACCCGAATGGGTCCTCCCAACATCCTTTACTTGGAATTCCCTTCTCTATCTGAGCTGGCTCTTCCCCCAGCATGTGAGGCCTGTTTTCAAGCCAGGGAGCAGACCTCCTGGTCCTTATCTCTACTACTCTTGGGTGTTAGTCTCCCATTCTGTTACTTTATGGAATGTTGTCTGTCTTAAGTTTTAAAAGACTTTGCTCTTGAAGTTTTCTATTTTAGTAATGATCCTCCCTCTTCCCTTTGGTCTCCTTGTAGAATCCTTGCTATAATATTCACATTACATCATTATTTCTTGGAATCACTTTTATTTCCTTATGTTTCTATCTTACCTTAGGTATTTTACTTCTCAATTTATTTTCCTTTGATTAGTGTTTTTCCTTTCTATTTCCCTCTTCTTCATCTTTCTTACACACACAAGCACACACATGCATATGCACACACGTACACACACACGCACACGCACACACACACACTCATTACTATACTTGCAACTGTGGATACATATTCAATGAACA